GAACTCGGGGGGTTTGTTTTGCGAGAGGCGCGGAAGGAATAAATGGGTGGGGATTTTTTTTTTCCCTTCACTCTGGACAAGTTCTTTGGCGATGGATGAGGGGCAACGATTGCTGATGAAGTTGTGTTGGGAAAACAGTGTTGTGGGTATTTGTTTTGTTTTGCATTTCGTTTTTTGTTTGAGGTTCGGGGCGTTGGTGTGTGTCCTGATGACGAATTGTTGAAGGAAAATTGCAGCGAATTTTTACTGTTCACTTTTTGGAGGTGGGGGAAGATTCCTGGGAACTTCGGCATTTCCCACGAAATCGGTTCTTGGCGTGTGGATATTTTATTCTACAAAGTATTGTGGGAGAATCGACGAATAGTTTTCAAAGAAAGATATTTTCTGTAGCAATTGTGTATAGGGGACTCGCTTCGAAATCGTTGCACGATACTTTCCGATATTAATGATGATCATGATTTGTGACTTCTCGAATGGTATTTTTTGTAGTCACCCGACTGACTCAACGTTTTCTTCTTTTCGGTTGAGGGAAAAGTACATTTAATGTACAAAAAATAATCGTTGTTATTGAAATTAAAATTAGTGCTGGACGAAAATCAAAGGGTTTTGTTCAAGACTGTGAGTAGGAAAATTTACACTGAAGATCGTGAGCCGATTTTGGAAAGTTTTTGATAGCAATGGCTATTGTTGACAGAAATTTAATTTTATCACGAGGTCAATTTTTCGAACGATTGATTATGGGACAAATATTCATCGGCAAAAAATATTCCGATATAATGTTCCAATTTATTTTTTCTTCTGGGAAAACTATTCGTCATCCTAAATATATCGATGCAATTTTCCAATGTCGATTTTTTCTTCTTGGAAAATAACTCGGTTTAAAATCGGAAATCGTTGTTGTTGATGAAGAAAATTGTATTTCGACTGTGTCGTAATTTTCTTTCGACGTGAAACTTCAAATCGAGGCGTCTTCGGTCTAGTCAAAGTTCTTTCCCCGAAAACAATTCCCCCAGAAGAAAAATGAAAGCTAAATGAGTCTCGGGAAGATTTTTCAAGGGTTTAGTACAGCATTAGTTCTTGACAAGACGAATTGCGTCGTGGAAAGATAAACTATAAGAGTCACCTTTTTCCTTCTTTCTTTCACGCAGAAAATGCTGTTCTTTGGAAAAATGTCAAACTTTTTCTTTTCCTCAGTGAATTGCGTCCCGCTGTTTCGAGATTTAAGGGCTTGCTTCTTGTGTCGACGGTTTTTGTTCGGCTCGGAATTCTTGAAGCATTCATCAAGACATTCGTGAAACGCTTATTTTAGCTATTTACAGAACGGAAAATCTGGCTGTGCTTCAAAGGAGCGAATGCGGAAAAGAGCGCGCAACGAAAAAAATTAATATGTGCGAAAAAGAACAAATATGCCTAACTTACCCCAGCCTAATTTAAAAAAAAATACACGACCATGAAATTATCGTGATCTAACATGTTCAACTTTTTATGTCAATTGTTGTGACATTTTTGTTCATGAAAATCTTGGCTCTTCGCAGTTCATGCAGATTTTCAATCGGAAAATTTGATTTTTAAAATCGACAATTACTGAATTATACAATTACCTATAAAAAAAAAAAGCGAGCAGCAGAAAAATGCGATAAGAAATTTAAGAGTGCGCAAAAGAGCAATTAATGATACTGGAACTCACCGCAAACCAATTGAAAAAATTGGCGAAACATGAAGTGATTCATGGTCGAACACATTTAAACTTTTCGATATCCATTGTTGTGACATTTTTGCGGATAACAATCTTGGTTCTTTCGGGATTTAAAAGTTCTGATTTTCACTCGGAAATTTTTTTTTTTCAAATTCAAGAAATTGGACGATTACGTGATTTTCCAATGAAAATACCCCGCCCGCAATTTCTGTGGATTCAAGCAATAAGATATCGTTGATTTTGTTAGTTGACGACTGCTGTGCAAAAATAGAGAAAAAAATCTGAAAGTCAGGAAATTGGCAGATAGATGTAGAGGGGGGAGTTTTTTTCCCATCTCGTTCGTTGGTCGCGTGCGTGACGTTGCTTTCGTCCATGTCGACATCCACATCGTCAGCGTCGATTTGAGTGTGAGAGGAAAAAATAAATAAATGAAATATAAGCAGAAAAAAAAAGAATTCCTCATCCCACGGCCAAATGATTTTCTCGTGTGCACGCGAACTAAATTTGGATGCTTGAGAGGAAACAATGTTCAGTTCCTGGTTCTTTCGGAATGATTCGTCTGAGGCAGTAACAGAAAAATGTGCTTTATTTTTGCAAATGCCAGAAATTCAGTTGGTTGAAACGAAGTTTCGCTGCTCGAAATGTGACGAAAAATATCGAGATTTGAATTGTTCCCAGTCCCTGTCTGAATTTTCTCAGAAACAATTCATCAAAACCCTCACTAACTCAAAAACTTTTCATCTCAAACCTCTTCAACTCGAATTTTCTTGAGGCGCTTCCTCTTTTATTTTATTGAAGCAGGGAAGAAGAAAGTAATTAAAATTTCACTGGATGTGTTTTGGAAGGAAGTGAAAGACTTGGAAATCCTTGCTTCCAAGTTCAGCATCCCGACAAGTCATTTAAGAAGCAATTTAATGCCCAGAATATGGGTTTCAATTTCCTGTGATTCTTCAACCGTTCCCCTGGGCAAAAAGGCCCGTTTCCGTAACTCGAAACCTCCCGAACTCAATATTATTTTTATGGTCCCGTGAAGTTCGACTGGAAGACTTTCGACTACGTACGATTGAGTGAGGGTAAAATGAACGTCAGATTGCGGAAATTTGAATTTTAATTATCGTCCATCGCAACATCCGTTGCAGCCAAGTCTAAATAAATCTCGGATTCCTTGGGTTTGTTCATTATTCGCCAAGTAAAACAGCACTGTCGAAACTACGGAAAATTCGGGTTCGAAGTTACTCAATCGAGAGGGTAAACGGCTTTTTGCAAGAAGCTATTTAGTCGATGGCCTCGTGCAGCCACTCGAGGGAAACTGATGGGTTTGTTTCGTGATCATAATGGTTTTGCGAGACCGAAAACTTGTTTGTTTTGAAACGGAAACGGGAACCCTGTAACCTGGTTCGTTTTAATTGTTGATTGGGAAGTTGGATCATTGCACTGATTTTTTCCGTGTGCGTCGTTTTGTCCGATTATGATTTTTAAAATGCGTGTGTGTTGAAAACGGTTTCACCGCGGCAGAGATTATAACATTTTTTTTATATCAATCAAGGGGAGGACTTTTTGTTCGGACGTTTGGTCCATTTTCGAAAAGGGAGTTTAATCTCTCTATTTTAAATTTTTTTGCTGGATGTTTCTGTTGGGATGATGGATTTGGTTGTTTTCATGTGAACGTGCGACAGAGGGAGGAAGTTTTTGATACGATACGAGTATCAATTCCAACGATTTGGATGCCGAGGGATTTTTTTTTTTTTTTTGCTGTTGGAGATTTCGGCAGTTGTCAACACGTTTTAAGGGCGGGGTTGGTGCATGCCATTTTTTTTGGCAGGATTACGGAAACGGCTGTGTTACAGTGTGCAAAAAATCAGGCGGGGGGGGGGGGGGGGGGGGGGGGGGGGGGGGGGGGGTGGCGAGGGGTGGATGATCCTGTCTGTTACTTCCGTGGGAGTTTATTGGCCGGATGGAAATTTTATTTGGCGTGGGATTTTTTGAAAGTTTTTTGTGAAGTTGTCATTGATATAAATGAGTTTTTGCGTTATACAGTAATCAAATATTGTCTTCGACGTGCTTTCGTTGATCGATTTCATGGATGAATCCCGTGTGTTTCAAAAATTTTCTTTGCCAATATGATTTTTGTTTTTTGTTCCTCTGGAATGAGAATTGTGTATGTTTTAAAAATTAATGCCGTTTTTCTCACACATTCTGAGTGGTACTAATATTCAGTACTTGTATAAACCAAATTCCAAGCTGAATACCTGTCGAATATCCCGAAAATATTCGAATTATATTCAATAGAATCTCATTATAACGAAGCGTTTGGGACCTTGAAAAAAACCTATGTTATGGACATACGTTCGTGAAAACGGAATTGAATTAACATTGTGACTCATGAACGGGGCCATAAAACAAATTAATTTGAAGCATCAATTCGTTATAACGAGATTCTACTGTACAACTGATTATAGGATACAGTATTACTTATCAAATTTTGAATAATTGAGGTAGTAATTTTGGAGATCGAAATTTTTTTTCAGATTTGTCGGTACAATACTAAGAAAAAATATCTCGCGATTTGATTCTAGTACAGTACTTCATAGTTTGAAATTTTATTACTGTATGGGGAATGATGACAGTTCTATTTTATTTTTTTGAAAACGGTCAATTTTCATTCGTCTGAACTATTTCTGAATAGCCGTCTGTTTAAGGCACTTGCCTTGAATGATTTCAATGAAGTTTTGTCTCATCTAACCAAAAATATAAAAATATACAGTAGTAAGATTACATTTGCAGAATTGAACCTGTGATCGATGAAACGAAGGAATTGTCGACAAGGAACATTTTTTTGGGGTACGGCAAAAATTTGAAAAATGTTTATGTTTTTGTCTCCATTGCAAAAATATACTTTCGTTGGAAGCTAGCAAATAATGTATCGAATGACGAGCTGAAGATGCTAATGAATCCTTCAAACGAAATATTTCCGGAACAATTTCAGAATGAAGGGATTATTCTCTCATTTTGATTCAATTTCTGTTGTCACTCGGATCCATTCACACAAGAAAAGAAAATGCGTCTAAGTAAGGGCTTCATTGTGAAGTAAAAATTATGCCCCGGGCACTTTCATTATACTGTGTATGTCTGTGAAAAGAGGCGGGCGCTTTGTTGTTGATGTTGTCGTTACTTACTACCACTGATGATAATGATGACGAGAGAGTTTTGGTAATAATGTTTTCGAATATTCTTTTTTTCTTTTCCCCCCATTTTCGGCACGCCGAAAAACGTTTCTTTTCCCCTCCCTGCTGAACCGGAACAGGATGAGCGACAGATACGCTGTGGAACAGGGCGGACTGCGAATTTCGGAAGTTCGGCAAGAGGACGAAGGCACTTACAGCTGCAGTGCAGATGTGGTGTCCACTGGCGAGTACCAAGTCCGCCAAATACGGTTCATGGTGAGTTCATTTTTTCTTCGTTGTTTTTTTTTTTTCGTTCGGTACCAGCAGTGGGACCCCGATATACGGACGATTCGACTAATGGACACTTGCTATATGCTGAGACATGGGTTTTGAGATATGGGAATGCTTTTGATTATTTTATCAGACTTCAATAAGAAGTAAACAAAAATATGAAGAGTTCAAGAAGTCTCCTGATCCTTCACATTACTTTTATTACTTTACCATTGTATTATATTTTAAATCTACTTCTGATAACTTTTTTGATGAGATTTCATATCCTTATTGCCAGGTTGCTTCAAGTGAATACTATTTGGTAATTTCTTGTAAAGAATGTTGAGCGTACATTTCTTGCATTAAACATAATTAAGAACATCATAAACTTATTTGTTCAAGCCATTGGTGAGAACGAAGTGCAGATACAGAAAAAGGCAGGTTTCGTTTTTAAACGTTGCAGTCTGAAATTGAGCAAGACTAGTCAGACCCAGATCTGACCTCATTTCCGAAGATGGTTACATAATTGGGCTTGCTAGGTAATTCAGCAAAAAGAAGAAAAAAGAAGGAAGCAGGTGACTTTCCCAAGCATTGTCTGCTAGCAAGAAGGAATGAAAGGATTTTGATGGGAACTGATTGAGAGTGCTAACTTTATTTACCCTTCTTTCAGAATTCAGAAGGTTCGAAAAAGATTGGCTCGTTGTGTTTACAAAATTGAAAATACTGTACAGTGAAACGTCTGATGAATTTACTATAATTCATAGTGCATAAAAATGTATGTCCGGGTTATTTGAGTTTTAGACTTCTTTTCATGCCAAAAGGAGGGTATACTTCTGAAATGATTTTTTTCTGAATCTAGAAGAATGTGAGAAAAAGGTGTATTCAATTGTGTAGGGCTTCATTATGCAAGTCATAAATTTTTCAGAGTACTGTGCTACAATGTTACGATTTTTCTCAACCAGTACTTGATCATCACCATTCGGAAGAAAAGACCATGATTCTCTTGAGCTGATAATCTGGATTATCTGGGATAATTTCTGGGATCAGTCGCTTGAGTTGAACTCCCCTTTACGAATACTGACGTGTTCATCAGATTCGAATTACAGTGGTTTAAAATGTTACTACGGTACGAGGCGTTTCTCAGAAATCTTGTGAATCATTCATCTCAGTCGAATGAAAACTTCGGTCATATCTCTTTCTTCAGTAGCTCGTTGATGATGCAGTAAAAAGGTTGATGCCATTCATCTGAAAAAAGAACATGAAAAATATATTTCTTCGAATATCAGTTCCATTTGCTTGAAGCGGTTCCTTGCATCGAGAAATTTCCTGGGTTGTCTGTGTGTCACAAAAACGCAGAAGATGAATGCTGAATCGTGAAAAGAACCCACGGAAGAAGAAGCATTGCATTTCACGACTACTACAGGGTTTGGTCTCGTAAATTTTATTGGGTAATTTATGTTGTGATTGTATTGTTAAAAATTGAGGTGAAATAGACTGTCCGCATGAGACGATGACGAATATTTTCGAAATTTATTTCGGATTGTTTCAGTTTCGCCTCTTCATATCGTTCAATAATTATTTTTGATCATGAATGTTCTTTCTTCCGTAAATGATTTGACAGATTTTTCTTCACTAAAGGACTGTCCTGAGTTCTCCAGAAAAAATGAAAATAAATGCTGATATGAAGGTTGATTCGGTGCCGGATACGTTTCCTTTTAGGGAGAAAAATAAAAGCAGATGATTTTATTACTTTCAATATCAAAACAGCTTCGGATTCACGAATATTTTTAAAACTTGTAACTGATTGTTTTTGCATATTGGCATCAGAGTTCCCTTGAATTGTTTCTGTTGATCTCGTTCAACTTAGCCTCATAATGTTTATTATAAATCATGAATGCTTTTTTTAAATTTCTTGAACCACTTTACAGTATTTTCGTCGCTGATGATTTGTTCAGCAGAAAATTTAACCATGCTGATTCTAAGGTTGATCAGGCTCGAGACACTCCTGACAGAAAAAAAGATGGGGAGATGATTTGTTTTTTTTTTTAATCATCAAAACAGCTTTTGATGATTCAATCGCGCATGATGATTTGCATTTCAAGTTATCTCGGGAGTTTTTCTCTCTCTTCATTTTGTCGTTCCTAATTGGGGCTGAGAATGATCGAGATATGGAGGCGTGACTTATTTGGCCATGCATATTATTCATCACCTTTGGGTTCTGTTGAAAGCAATCAGGTGTAAAATTACAACTTGGAAGGATTCGTAATCATCAGTATGCACTGTTGACTCATCCATTTTCTGTGCGAGGAGAAATTCATTCATTTTTTATTTTTTATCTGGAAATTTGTCAGAGACTTGATCAATCCGAATCAGTATTCGTATTGTTTTCCTGTGTCCGTCGGAGAGGCAATTGAAAAGAAAGAAAATTGCGAAAAATTATTCGCCAAAAAATAATGTGTCCTCGTGCAGAATGCGTTCGAAAAAAAAAAATCAGACACTTGTCTTGATTTCTTCCTTTTCTGCTCAATTTGTATGTTCCCATGCGCAAGGTTCTCATTGTTGAAGTGGTATTCCTAGAATTGTCTGTTGTCAAGGTAAAAAAAAAAAGATCACGTGTTCCCAGATTTGAAACAGAGAATACTTCAAATTTCCTTCACGTTCGATAATTATGTTTCATGAAAACTTCACGTTTACGAGTACTGAAATTAGTTGCTTGCTGTATTTTATGAGATCTTTTATAGACATCAACATCCGATTTTCTTGATTTTTCCTGAATTTTATTGAGCTTCCCTCGTCTAATTTCGGTTATTCCAGGTTAAATCTGAGCTATGCTTCATGATTTAATCATCGTTTACTATCTTTAAGTTACGATTTTAGTAGTGAGCTAGACATTGATGCAACAGTTTTCTAACATGCCGAAAAGCAAGTTAGTGTTTTGAATTAAAACTCACGCAAGGTACAGTAATTATGACTGATATTCAGTGTTCCAGAAACGTACCAAAAAAATAAAACATAAATGAGGAAAAAAAAAGAGAAGGGATGGAATCAATTTTTTTTAGCATGTCCTGAAGCATACTTCAACGTATTTCATTCGTTTGCTCAAAGAGTGAAATATTGAAGCGTTGGTTCAGATCCACGGGTTCCATACGGCAGATTGATGAACACTGTGCCTGGGAACGTGTACCCATTGGAAGAATGAGTCCAAACTCGCACCCGTAAAACGTGAATACATTAAATAAACCTGTATTTTTTTCGTTCCGCTCCTTATCTGAAAACAATGAACGAACCCCTTTCAAGCCGAACCCGGTTTTCTGGCAACAGGTCAATGATTCTTGCGGGTGTTTCGAGAGTCTTGCAGCAGCGCCGAAGTCAGTATTGTACAGTAATTATGATGATGATGACCTAAACGAGAAAAAATGTGCTGTTAATGATACCTGACCCTGTTTCGTCCATGTATTGTCATGAAAGTATTTCAAACCGAGTCTTCGTTTTTGAAAAAAAAAAAAAAAGTATGCCAAATACAGTATTGTACACTGGGACACGATCGAGCTTTGGACATAATTCGTTCCTCAACTTGTTCAAATTCAGATTTTGAGAATAAACAAAGTCCCTTGAGCTGTGAATTCAAATTTTAGTTGTATACTGTCTCTCAAAATTTCGAAAACACAACAGAAAGATTGCTTTTCAAACCGAGGGAATATTTTATTCGTGTATAAAGAATATAAATTTGAAAAACGGAGAAAATAAATCACGGACTTCTCAATTTTTTGGATAAGAAATTCAGGAGAGAGGCAAAATGGAATCCGAGGTTATTGCAGATTTTATTATTTTCAAATTTAATAATTCAACGTTTTCAACAGTGTGAAGAGGTGAATTTACCTATTAAAAATGAGTGTAATTCCAAGGATTTTTAATGAATTCATCTCTTGCTAGTTCAGGATTGAGATTTTCGAACGATTTTTTGAAAAATATTTTCTTTATTTTTCAGACTACAGTCAAATGATTTCTTTCCAAATATTCCATATTGTTCAATTTCTTGAATTCCCGATTTTTAGATGTGCGAAAGTTGGGACCCATGCATTGCAACTGCTGACGGAATGCATCCCTGAACTTTTTTCGCAACATTAAAGAAAATAATTCACGAGTCCAAAAAAAAAAGAAAAATTCCTTGAATCAACGACGACGAAAATTCTGTCATTTTCTTCATTTTACGGGAATGTCCCATATTTTGGAAAATAAAGTCCTTGAACACATTTCATCATCAATAAGAAAAAGCTGATTCATTTTTTTTTTCGCCACGTGTTCCATCCGAAAAGAAAACCACCAGAATTGCGGTGATCAGTCTGAAATTCGAGATCTTTAGGGTCGTCGTGGAATGTGGATCGATTGCTGTCATCTTCTAGTATTCATCTTTCTCTCGACCAGCACTATGGAATTTCTCAATTTAAGCCCCCCCCCCCCCAAAAAAAGCGAGAGAAAACTTCTTGAAACCTGCGGTCCAGGAAACCGCACCCATATGTGTGTGTGTGTGTGTGTGTGTGGTTCCCTGTCAAATAAATAAATTTCGATTATGGAAATTCAAGAAAAATGAATGAAAACGAAACCACGGAGGAGGGTGAAATGCTCGATGATGATGATGATGATGATCAAGTTGTTCTTCCTTGGGTAACAGGGTTCGAGAGTGAGAGAAAATCAGCAGTTAATATTTTGCTGGCGGACGACCCTCGAGTATACTATCCCAAAACCCTCGACTTCAAAATATCGTGATTAAAGTAAAAATACTGTAATAATTTGAGGCATGCGGGGGTTTCACGCTTTCGTGTCTAGAAGGGAATGATTACAGGTACTGTACACGTATTGTATAAGTATGGTAACGCCCTGCAATGAACACACACACAGTTGATGTGCGTGAAAGTCGAGTCCCGAGTCTTTTGGTCAGTGGGGGTTCGCATCAATCAAACTGGGCCACTTACTGCATCATCCTGGCTTTGAGGCAATAATAAATGGCGGAAAAATAAAACAGTGTATGTCTGCGTGTTATGTGTGGAAATTACCCTCTTACTCAGTCAGTCAGTCAGTCAGTGTAGTACTCGAGACCGACTCTTTGATGTCTCGTATGTATG